AGTGCGATTTGTCCCATGCCCGCGCAACCCTTTGCGGAGATCGTGCGCGTCGAGTGCGCGAAATGCAGGCGAGAGTGCGATTTGACCGGTGCCCGCGCAACCCTCTGCGGAGATCGTGCGTGTCGAGTAGTACGCGAAATGGAGGCGAGAGTGCGATTTGCACATGCCCGCGCAACCCTCTGCGGAGATCGTGCGTGTCTTGTGCGCGAAACGCAGGCGAGAGTGCGATTTGTCCGGTGCGCGCGCAACCTTCTGCGGAGATCGTGCGTGTCGAGAGCACGCGAAATGCAGGCGAGAGTGCGATTTGCCACATACCCGCGCAACCCTCTGCGGAGATCGTGCGTGTCGAGTGCGCGAAATGCAGGCGAGAGTGCGATCTGTCCGGTGTGCGCGCAACCCTTTGCGGAGATCGTGCGTGTCGAGTGCGCGAAATGTAGGCGAGAGCGCAATTCATCCTGGACACGGGCAACCCTCTGCGGAGATCGTGCCTTTGTAGTACAACTTTATTACGCGGAGTATCTGGGGAGCTGGAAGATGAGAACTGGCGACTTTGTAGTACAACTTTAGTGCGTGGAGTATCTGGGGAGCTGGAAGATGAGAACTGGCGACTTTGTAGTACAACTTTAGTACGCGGAGTAGCTGGGGGGCTGGAATTTGAGAACTGGTGACTTGGTAGTACAACTTTAGTACGCGGAGTATCTGGGGAGCTGGAAGATGAGAACTGGCGACTTTGTAGTGCAACTGTAGTACGCGGAGTATCTGGCGAGCTGGAAGATGAGAACTGGCGACATGGTAGTAGAACTTTAGTACGCGGAGTATCTGGGGAGCTGGAAGATGAGAACTGGCGACTTTGTAGTGCAATTATAGATAATTATAGTACGCGGAGTACCTGGGGAGCTGGAAGATGAGAACTGGTGACTTGGTAGTACAACTTTAGTTCGCAGAGTATGTGGGGAGCTGGAAGATGAGAACTGGCGACTTTGTAGTACAACTTTAGTAGGCGGAGTATCTGGGGAGCTGGAAGATGAGAACTGGCGACTTGGTAGTAC